AATTGAATTGAATTGAATTGAATTGAATTGAATTGTACAGAAGTCCAAACAACGCACTGATGCAGAGATTGTGTGTCCATGTGTCCATGTGTGAGTAAATTCCCAAAGAGCAGAGTGATGGATAGTGGGTGTTTGTGCATTTCACAGTTCAACACACATTCATTGCAAAGTGTGTGTGTGAGTGTGAGAGTGTAAATACAGGTCAGTGAGGTGTAGCTCTTGTTGTTGATCCAGTCTGTTTAGCTGCACATTAAGCCACTATGCAGCAGTTAACCCCGACCATGGCACTGCATCCCCTTTCATTGGCACATAATGTGAATCTAGCTGACTTGCCACATCTGAGCATTTAACCTTCAATAGGTTAAACTGTTACATGTGGCAACATTTATTCAAAGTCCCTGGACATCCACGAAGCAGCTGATCTTTTTGAGAACAGATTAATATGGCTCACTGAGCTTTAAAAAGATTATTCAATCAAATTGGTGGTTTTATCTTTGGTGGTGCAGTGGTTAGCATTGTCACCTCACAGCAAGGATGTTCTGGGTTTGAATCAGCTGGGCAGCTGAAGCCACTGAGTGTGGAGTTGCATGTTCTCCTATGCCTGACTGGCATTTTTGGCTAAGTGTCTTGATGCATTCTCAATCATCCAGGAAAATAAATCTCCAAAAGTTGATTCTGTTCATCTGGACGTAGCGTTCAGCATCTGGACGTAAGTTACTTGGATGAGTGACGAAACATTTCTCCCAGAAAACGCTACGTCCAGATGAACAGAATCAACTTTTGGAGATTTTGGCTAAGTGGTGACTCTAAATAGCTCGTGGGTGTGAATGTGTCACTGTGTTAGCCTTGTGATGGACTGCTGAACATGGTATGGCAGGAGGCATAGGATCCAGCCTCCTCTTGACCCTAAACTGGATAAGTGATCAAGAAAAAAGATGAATGGGAATTCTCATTTTCATTCTTTTTGTTTCCGATGTGGGCCAATAGTGTTGTTTCCATCCAATCTTGGAGCCCATTTTAGCGGGCTATGTGATGAGATAAGAGTGGCAGCAACATACATAATTACACAAGTACCGGGTATCCCACAGGCCAAGGGGGACCATGATAAAGATTCAGCCACAGTCAAATATCTCCAGATGTTAATACAGATGCTGAGAGACCAGCTGAATGGGAGGAATAAGATCCCAGCCATTAATCCATGGGTTCTACCAGTCATCTGATACATAGCTGGAATAATAAGAGCAGTGCCTGACAACACCGAGGAGAAAGAACTGGAAGACTACCAGCAGAAACCAGGATGGCTGCCCGTCTTTAATTCTGGTTCTCTGGAATGTGTGAGAATCAGAAAAGCATCGCCAAAAGTAACTAACAAGCAGAAGTGACATATGAGCCCATAGCAGCATAACTAAGGAATGGTTCAGCATCACCTGATTTTTTTTTGTCATTGGGTGATGATTGTGGGCACTCAATAGTGTCATAATGACCATCATATAGGTATGCTGTTATTTTGGAAAGGATAAAGCAATAAGTTTCAGTGAGACAGAATGTGCACAGAAGTTCTGAAGTTAATTTTGTTTCTGGTCCTTCTAAAAACAGCAATCATCCAGTTAATGAAGTTGAATAATGAGGAGAAGAAGAAGAATCAGATCTCAATCCAGGATTTGCGTGGCCTCCTGGAGCGTTTTTGCAAAGATTTACTCTGTTCCAAAATCTGGAAGAAGAGGTAAGATGCATGTTTGATTTGCATCCAAGAATGCACTCCCTGGGGAGCCTTCTTCATGTATGCCAGCCCCATATACTCCATCCTTGCACTGCGCTACACTAAAAGCCGTCTGAGAATAGATCCGTGTGGCACACTGTGCTTCTAAAAGAAGCTTTAATCTAGTTGGGAATGTTGTTTCACTTTAGTTTCCTATTAGATATTTATATTTGCACAGACCTAAGAGAAAACGTAACAGTACACATTTTAGACTGAGCCAGCTGGCAATTGAGGCAGTCCTATTACCACCCAGACAACTTTGGACTTTCCCTTACACACTGGCTGTAGTTGTTCTTCAGCCGTTGGTATCTCAGTTTTCTCGTGCTCCCACTTTCTGATGTTGTCGATGTTGATTCGTCAAGCCTCAGGTTGCTAGGCGGAGGCATTGTGAGAATTTCCATGTCCTTACATCAGTGGCATCTATCTCCTGCAATGCATTCTTTCAGCTGGGTATCAGATGACCTATAGAGCCTATGAATTAATGACCTCAATCTTATTCCTGCTATTCAGCTGGTTCCTCAGCACCTGTATTACCTTCTGGAGATATTTGGCTGTGGCCGAATCTTTATCCTGGTTTTCAGTGGCCTGTGGGATACCCAGGTACTTGCAGCTGTCGTGTTAAACAAAACATCTTAAAGAAACGGTAATATTCTGGCAGCTGGGGCGCCAAAATACTACCGTAAAATAACAGAAAATAACTTCCCCATAAAAATAAAGTTATTTTCAGTAATGAAAATAGAGTTTGTTGCGCTAATTTTACATGGGATCTTGCCTTTCCCAAGTGCTTTTAGACATTGAACTAGAAACATTTTAACGTGATTACACAATGAAATTACCTACAAACAAGGTCAATGAATGTGGCAATATGAATAATAATGCTTAAATCCACAGAAGTATACAGTTAACAGTTGGGTTAAATAACATCATTTGATGTAAAAAAAACTTGTATATTCAATTATATTTGATGTAATACTACATTATACAAAATAAATTGATTTATCTGTCAAAACATGTCAAAAAACTAGATATTGGCTTCAAAACTACAATTCACTGCTAATACTACATAATATCACATGTAAATTTAGATTTTAAGTGTAATTTAACATAAATTTCCTGAATACTTACTGGACTGTCAGTTTGAATTAAGTGTGCTCACTGTAAGATTGTGGGTCATATCTGTCAACCCCTGATTGTGTATGAGCAGTCTGTAGATGTGTATCTTACTTACAAGACATGAGACATTGTTTCAATCAGTAACATGAATTTTAATGACAAAAAACAACCATTCCTGGAACAACCCAAGAACTACCACTTGTGCTGAAAAAAAAACTATTCAAAAGAAGGGGACACTGTCACCGAGAAGGTCCATCTGCCTCCCCACATCTGGAGCAACGAAAAGAGGACACTAAATACTCTTAATTATCACAATTACTTACTAAAACTGACTTCATTGCATTGTACATCATCTACCTATTAAGGCGCTAAGGCAAACCCACTGCATACTACATCATTACACTCTGTCTATCTGGGTGAGGGGGTGGTGGGGTTGGTTGGGGGAGGGGGGGATTAGAAGTAGCCCTAGCTGTCATAAAGTCTCACTGTTAGGGATGCTGCTGAGCATTTGGGTTCCCCTGGAGAATAGTGAAATGGAATTATATGCAAAGAACAAATAGAGTAAAACAAAAGCCTGAGTGTTATGCTGATTATAAACTGATAAGTATTGATATGTTATAAGTTGTCACTGTAATACAAACTTCCATGAAAATAACTGAACGGATGGTACTGTGTTTGCAGAGTAAGCACCACAAGTGTCAATGTATAGCCTTTTACAATAAACTGAAATGAAGGTAATACTTAAGACACCTGAAGCATGAACAGAGATACCTGACAGCAGCCAGTAACATACAAACTGGCTAGCGCGAATGCAAACTAAATGTGAATAGGAGTTGCAGCTTATATTTCACTTTTCCCCTATCAAGTGGACCACCTGTGCTGTTGACACTGGCTGTGAACCAGAGACCAGTGCTACTGAACACCAGATTATGTCAACCACAAGATGAAAATAAGATTTTTTTAGGCTCTCCACTCGTAGTCCGCAATTTTGGTTATCAACGTCAGGACCTTTGGACTGACCGCGAGGTGTGTCTTAGATGTGTTCCGCACCACTTTGGATCCCTTGTCGGGGTTTATCTTAACCCTGGAGAAACCATGGGGTCAAATTTGACCCCATGGTTTCCCTAGAAAACCAATGGGGTCGGCTCTGACCCCATGGGTTCTCCAGGGTTAAAGAGGCATCTGTCAAATGGAAAACAACAACTTAATCAAGAAACACAGGACTGGACTGTATGTGTTTTTTACGTTTGCAATTAATCTAAGTGTAGATTGAGCTTGCTTTTGAGTGTGTGTTTGGACATACAGGTCATTGTGGAACAGAGGGGTGACGCAACGATGTTTGGTTAACCTGTGAGTATCCATTGCAAATACTATTTCAGGGTAGTGAAACATCTGTGAACATCTACTACTCAAAGGTCCCTCTCTATAACTTGACACGAGCATTAGTCAAGGATATTTCAGAGACAGCCATCTGAAAAGCAAATATTGAGCATTTGTTGATTTATCAATCTACAAATCTTCCCAACACTCTAGCATTGCTCAGTCATGTGCGCTTTAGCTGCAAATGAAAGGAGATGTTTCAATGTATAAAATTGACTGGTGCCGCCTTACCTTTGCAAGAATTCCAAGGTTGCTGCTTGGCCTGCTGGATAGGAAATGTTCATGCAATAGTAAGAGCCAAACATCAGGATAAGTGCTTTGCTGAAGACAGTGATACGGCCATTCACAATGGTCTGGTCCACAGATAGCATGTAGTGCTCTGCTGCCAAAGTAGAGTTTCCTGTTGTGTACACGAACAAGAGACAAGAGGACAACGACATTTAAAAAAGACAAAAACCAAATCTACACATGACTCTAACAACTGCTATGTTACACCTGATGTATATCAATTACATACACTGGCACGCAGCTTGGGCCCCCCGGTCAACTGCAAGGTGCCCAAACTTCTGTGTATAGGGAAATCCCAGGAACGCTTACGCCAATCAGACAAAAATTAGCAGTATAATAATCACATCAAATGTCAATGGTCTTATTATACTATACCATTACTATGGAATTGAGGAAAACCACAACAACCAATCAGACCACAAAGCAACTCAGGAGTGTAAACTCAAGTTTTCTTGAGTTTACACTCCTGGAACTCCCAAGTAAACTCAATGCATGGTGTACTTGGGAGTTTAGTGCAGTCCACTTCAGAGGGCAGGGTTGTTTGATCCACTTTGAAGAACATCTGGTCTTCCTCTTCATTGAAGTACTTGAGCAGTAGTGGAAGAAACACTGCAACATTCTTGCTAGATGTTTCCATTTCTCTGAAAATGGCCGCCATCCTCTCGGTCTTGTCATTGTGTTTAAGGAATGAAACAACTCTGGCACATTTATTTGCTATGTTATTCTCATCCACGTCCATGCCAGTGAGCTCTTCAAAATGAATCTTCATGCCAGTTATCTCAAACAGATATGGCCATTCCTTCATCAAGTCAGAGGTCTCAGTTCCACTAATAATGTCCTGTCTCTGAGTGATGAAGGTGACCCTCATCATATTCTCAATAGCTTTGGAGTCACAGCATCTTTCTCTGTACATTTTTTGTAACTCTTCCTTTCCAGGGGTTTCACCAGGCGGGAGCAGTGTTGGTTGCCAGTTTATGCACCCATAACTGTCTAGCCTTCTTTTGAATGGAGCTACCCTCTCCTCCACTGCTGCTAATAAGCTGTCTCTTTATGGCAAGTGAAGTCATCCCTCTCTTAAGGTTATCCACTCTGCTGACCATCTGTTTGGTGAGAGCGTCATGCCCACTGCCTACAACTTCCCCTTCAATTACATCAGTAAATGCCACAGGGTAGGTCTTTGTCATCCGTCTTGCTATCTCACTGAGGTGTTTCTTCCCAGGTGTTGGGCATATGGTCAAGACTTCACTGACAATGACTCGGATGATTTCAAGTCTCTCACGTCTTGTTGGCCGTTTCCCTGTTTCCAGCTTCCTGATGACATCAGATGGAGTCTTCTGCCAAGGAATTTGAAATTGAAAATGCCAACTGTTGACAGGCAGTTGACGAGGTCTGAAAGTCACATCCATGGAACTACTTGACTGTGGTGAGATTGAACTTGCTGAGCCAGAACCACCTGACGAGTAGCAACATAGAACAGAAGCTGTTTGGACATAATGATACAACACTTTGAAGCCATCAATTCATATAATATGGCCTCCATTATTTTTTACTTTGGGTTCCCTTTTTTTCCAGCCCCGTTTGGTTCTTTTGCCATCAGAATTATTGTCTAAAGGCCATAAAGGATGCCCAACTTTACCAAGTGGACCATCCCGGCCTTGCTGTATTGGTCCATGTCATTGACCTTTTTATTTATACCTCATATACATGGATACACACACACACCCACACATGCTGCATGTATGCAATGTACATTTGTATGTAGTCTAATAATTCGCCTCAGGTGCTTTTGCCTACTTCCTCTCCACAAAATAAAAGGTAATACTTGGCTTATCCTTTACATATCCATTACATTTTACAGGGCAAAGCTAGCACAGTGGGCTACTTCTACTTCCTATTTCTCTCACTTCATCACGCAGCACATCTAGGCGCACACAAGCTCTCTACAGGAGTGCAGGTGTGTTGCTGGAGTGCAACAGCTCGCCTATTAGCTCTTATGTTGCACACTTCATTTCACATTGAGACAAATGCATCAGTGTCAGCTTTTGTCGCGGTGTAGAAACTATCCGCGTAGCAACTGCTGTGTTTACACTGTCACATAAAGCAGGCAGCTGACAAATTAGCGAAAAACAACTCTGCTAGCCAGCAAGTTAGTATACAGCTAGACCAGCCGCTAACTGCACCTTAAACTGACAGACAACGTGCTTTTCCTTCATAGCTAGGGAGTCCATGCCTTTTACCGTCTCAGTAAACTACGAGTCATAGTGGTCAAGCAATGCCAAGTTAATTCTACTGAGCTGAGTTTGATATACTGGCCTTGCAGCACTGCGTGGATGATCTTTCAATCTCTCTCTTCCACCGCGCTTTCCACAGCCATACCCGCGACCTTGTGGTTGTCAGTTCTAATTCATTGGCCGATGTTTATGGTCATGTCGTTATGTGTCCGAACATCCAATGGCATGTCACATTGTTTTCATGACCGTGCCCTCACCCCAGGTGCAATGTATTTTCACAAACTATAAATATGTACAGAAAAATATATTTGGGTAACAAGGAGATTATGTTTTATTACATTTACAGTGATTTTATGTTATTTTACATTTCACATGTGAAATCACAGTCTATTTATGTAAATTTGATGATGTTGTGGAAAAACAGTACACAACTGTAAAATACACAGTAAAATAATTTGGCATTACTATTTTTTGGAACAGTGTGCTAGTCTGCCTTCTGGCAACTCCAGTCCCTAAGTCCGGATCACCTTCCTTATTTTTGGAACCATTTGGCCACAATTATCCAGTCCGAATGTCATCAAAGTAGATCCTATAGATCCTATAGATCACTCCTGGTTTGATGTCATTCATGTACAGAAGGTGGCTGATGGTATGGTCACTCCATCCTGAACCTATATCCATATTTATTCTTAGTGATAAGCTGGCTTAGGGGGCTGTCCTGCAGGACCGCAGGTGCACTTCATGGTAATTTGTGTTGGTCTCCAGTGTTGTTATCCACAGTCCCATTGAGTTCTTGATGACATCTATGTACTTACAGCAAAAAGGGCTAGGATAACATTTGTAACAAGTTTTTTGGACTAAGTTGTTTTGGATGTGAAGGGGCCTTATGCTGATGTAGAGCTGGCATGAAGAAGTTTGCATCAGTTAGTTAAAAAACCACTGGGTGGCAATACATCTTAACTCCAAAAGGTTGATTCTGTTCATCTGGACGTAGCTTTTTTCAGTGGGAGAAACATTTTGTCACTCATCCAAGTGCAGGTTTCCAACCTTATAAACAGTAGATATGCATAATGACTGAAACATCTTAACACATGCAGTTTTTCTTCTCCTCAACATCGCCTTTGAGATTGAGTCAGGAAGGGCATCCAGCATAAAACTCGTGTTTTTGCTCCGTGAGTAACTTGGTCTTACAAGATGCCCAAATGGATGACTGCAGTTCAGCAAAAAAAGAATAAACCATCATGAAGCCTGAATATATGTGTGGACTAATTCAAGCTCAGCATGAGCACTCTTTCTGCTAACAGGCTACACAACTTCT